TCTCTGCAGACTGCGTAAATTTGCTTAATATTTTCGTAAGCTTTCCCGTCCAAATGGCAAGTGCGTTGCGCATTAAGTATACGCCCCTTATTACTAGAGGGCAGCTCGCAGTTATGCTGAACATATAAAAGTAAATGATTTACGCTACGCAAACTTTCACTTCAATATTCAATGTGAACTTCTCAAATTGAATGCCCAATGCGACAACTCCAAAGCGCCAGTTGACAGCAGTGGGCATAAATTCCAAATACCCTAGCTCAAATCGTATATGATGAATGTAAAGAATTTAGTTAATTCCGTCGATTGACTGTGTCACTACTACAAGAAGTTCCAGGCTCCATCTAGACTGCATATCAATATTAATTATCCATTTAAGCATTGAGATTTGATTGGGGCAATGACTGCAATCCAGTGAAGCCACTGAGCGACTCTCGGTTTACTAATAGTAATAGTAATAATAATAATAATACGAATAGCTCATCTCTTTAGCAGCTATACATATACATACATATGCTTTATCTCCAAGCTCTAAGCAGCGCTCTGACCAACTCTCAATTCATACGCATAAATATCTATAGTCAATGATATGATATCTCTCTCTATATATATATATATATATGCTTGCCATAAGCTGGGAATCTACTGCGCTTAAGACGTGGCCAGGCAAAGCAATATTAGCATGCTCTGAGGCCTGCACAGGGTATCAGGAGCGAGCAGGCAACCAATCAAATGGAAAGGCATTAAAGGGCCGGCGATATATATCTACAAAGGAGACTGCACAATGCGGACAGCAGAAGCAGCAGCAGCAGTAGAAGCAGTAGAAGCAGCGCCAAGGACCAAGGCTCGACTGCAGTGTGCACAATGTGCAACAATAGAAGGAGGCGGCGCTAGGCAGGGCGTGGCGAGGCAGATAAGCCTCGGGCAGCTGGGCCAAAAAGTCGGCCAAAAAATAAATGGAAATTAAAAGTTCACAGTCACAACAAAAAGAGATGGAAGCAGCAGCTGACAATGCTTATATGAGATGGAATAAAGAATGATATGAATGGGTGCTTCAAATTCATATGTTTACACAGAGACAATGGAAGAGGGAGTGACAGTGAAAGAGAGAGAGAGAGAGAGATAGGGGGAGAGAGTCAGAATCGTATGCTTAGCATAAAAATTGGCTGTACGTGCAAACGGAGACGAATTGAGACGCGTTTCTTGGTTAACATCATGACATCATCCTGAATCTCTAATGAATAAAAATGAATTTAAAAAAATACAAAGAAAATAAAGAAAATGAGGCAAAACAAAAGCTAGAGAGAGTGAGAGAGCGAGAGAGAGAGACAATAAAATATGCGGCGACATAGACAGACGGAGCGCAGCAGGCTGCCAGCCAGTCTACGCAGCGGAGAGCTACAGCTACTGTGATACTAAATATATATAAATTTATATCTATATACGAGTGTCCTGTCAGGCAGTGAGCCAACTACACACACACACAGAGACACGCAGTCAAGTCTTCCATTTGCCATGTTGTTTTTTTTCGTCGTGCTGCAGGCCAAGTCCTGTCTGTCCTGTCTTCATAATCCTTTATTTAAATATTGTTTGCTTTTTATTTGCCATTGTTATTATGCTTGTAGATATTTTGCATAAATAACTAGACAGCACACACACACACACACACACACACACACACACAGGCAAGACAATCTCAATCTTGGACTGGCAAAAAAAAGTGCTGCTGCTTGCTGCTTTATAGTGCTTGCCTATTAAAATATATATAGATATCTCATAATATATATACGTTCTACTTATGCGCATATATTTCCTTGCCCAGCAGATGTTTAGCCAACAGTCAAAACGTTGGCATTTTAACTTTGTGCGCAACGTGGCGTATGCTTAACATATATTGTGTGTCAGTGTGTGTGTGTATATCCATATCCAAAGGGCATATTGCGCATACGCCCCATCGGCTGCCGTACACTCATTAGCAATTACATGTGCGCCCTTTGGGAAGCGGCCCGCTGTCAGCTAAAATTTGTGTCAACGTCCAGACATACGGCAACAACAACAACAACAACTGGAGTCAACCCCACAGGCGTTGCCGTATTTAGCATGTTAACGTGTATCCTCCAGGCAGGCGTGCAACGCTTTTGGGCTCTCAGCCGCCGTTGACGTCTTTGGAGCCTTTCAATGAAAGCCTGTTGGCTGGCCTCGTTAAATGCCTCGACAGTCGTGCCCGCTGACACAGAGTCAGGCATCTTGTCAGCTGGCCACGCCCACATACCCACTGTCTGTCTCTCTGTGCCTCTTCTCTTCTGTCTCGCTCACTCCTTGCGGCCTGTGCGTGCTGCGCGCTTTCAAATATCAAATTCACATTAATTTTGACATCGAAGCGGAAATATATTTAATTGCTTTCTAGCCGCAGCGTCACCTAGACATATTCTGCTCATGCACACATGACACACACACACATGATAGATAGATAGAGTGCCTCACGTAGTCTGCAGCGACTTTTTGCCATTAGCTCGCGTCTCGCTCCCCAAGGCTCTAGGCAAATATTTGGCTTTTCCTCAGCAATTTTGCCGTGTTTTACTTTTTGTCATTTCATTAGGAAACCGCCGCCACTGCCACACCCACCGTCCCGCACGCCTTAATAGCGCTTAGTCGTGCGGCTGTTATTGCGTTAAGTTGGCATAATCGCATTGGCCTTGTTTATGGCACGTCTCAACCAAAAAATAATCAGACGACGATAGCAAACGTTGTCGATTTTTGATTAACTTAAGGCAAACTTACTTCATTTGCGAAAATTTCAGCATTCGATTGGCATAATTGGAACGGAAATTCATTTAAAATACTCAATTTATTGCCACTCACGAGCCCCAAATTGTGCATTAATTTGAATATTATGATAATAACTTAAAGAGCCCAGGAGCATATCAAATGCCAGGCATATTTCGCCACTCGAGTGGAATGTGGAATTTTAATTTCAATGACATGGCAACGAAGGATTATGATTAAGCAGAATTTCAAGCGAAACACAAATGGCAAGCAGCGAGGCCATTCAACTCAACAGCCAACGTGGCTCGCAGTCAAAGTCAAAATCAACTTCCGTTTCCCTCGACTCTCCCACTCTCTCCCTCACTCAGTCTCTCTCTTAATTCCAGCTTGGACAGCAATTCGGCTGGCCTCAAATTGATAGACAAATCATATCAAATTGCTTTTATAGTCTTGCCTATTCAGAATATGTATAATTTCGAATACATTCCTTAGCAAAGCGAATGGACAGCTTGGCAGCTGACTAGATGAAAGAGGCCAATAGCCAGAGGCTTCATCATCCACAGACCATGTCGAAACTCGGATCGTTGTGCTGACAGCCAACAGTAAACATTTGTGAGTAAATTTGCATTGGAAATTTGACAAATAGCTATGTGAAGGCCGAAAGTAAGGTAGCTACTGGCTGCTGATTGTATTACCTTAATAAAACAGGTAAACAGAATTCAGTCAACACAAATCTGACTACGGAACTCGAGACTGAAATCTGTATGGGCCTATCACATTGACCTATCAAGACACGTTGGCCCCAAAAGTCAAGATGCAGATATTGGGTAGAGCGAGATATATCCTAGAGAAGACAGCTAGATGTGGACAGACAGGATAAAGAGAAAGAGAGAGAGGGAGAGATGAAAAGTGAACAGGCAAACGACTCGCTTACATAGGAAGTTTTTTTTAAATATATTGAAACTGGTTATTCAGAGATGGTACGATCAGCTTCTTTAATGAATCTTATGATGAGAACTTCTACTTCTTCTAGTTTCGTTTGTATCTACAGCATGCCAAATTTCTGAAGTCAAGATTACAAACTCTTCTGCTAAAGTATAAATGCTGAGGATTGACTATGGATACAGGTAATTTGAAAATATACAGATGCATGCAATTTTTTGGGTCTGGTAAACAATTATGCGGACAGAAATTAAAATATATATACAAATATACAACAAATTAAACTAAGTTAGTTACTAATTAAAGTTGAATTACTTTTAAAATAAAATAAAGCAAATAATCAAAAGGGAAATATGTTAAAGAGCTACAAATTAATCATAATTATTGATATCAATTAAATTATTGAAGCTGTATGTAAATAAATATATACATCTATCAGTGAATACAAGAAATTGAAGAAAAAAGTATTAAAAATATTTAAAAAGGACATTTTAATAAAAATAAACTCTAATAGATAATATCTTATAAATAAAAAATACTTTATTTTGTTATGTTTGTGGTCAGCATAAATTTAAAATACGTCTAAAAATACAAAATATTGTAAAAACATAAGCAAAATTGAAAGAAGATGAAAAAGATGTCCGACAATCCCTAACCAGCTAAAACTGCATTCGATTATAAGAGCCTAAATAAATAAACAGTAAGCGAAAATATAAGCAATATATGACGAAGGTATTTGAAGAACTTAAAGCAGAAAACTTGAGCAAACATTCATTTCAATATAACCAGAGCTCAGCTCTAATATTACTTTTTCAGCTAAAGTATCGAAAGCCTTCGAGCCTCAACCCAAGTCTAGTTACGATAATGAAAGCAAATAGGCAAAACAATTAAGTGTGGCAAGAGATTCGCAGCAGGGCGAAGTCTGAGCGCGGCTCTGATACAAATTCGACAGCAAATATAATTTTTATTTGTGCATAAAAGCGAAAGTCTAACAAACGAGACGCTAACTTGTCGCCGACGCCGCTGCTGTCGCATAAAGAGCACGTATTTATGTGCGGGCCGTAAATGCAAATGCCGTAAAACGTGAAACGGAAAATGGGGAACTTGCCAAAAGTGTTGAAAGGAGCTGGATATGTAGATGTGGGTGTGTGTGTGTATGTGTGAAGTTGTGGGCCATAAACTAGCGAATGCCAAAAACTTTGTATATCCGCGGCGAGGCTCTGGGCCAAAGTCAAAGTAAAAGTCGTCCATTTTACAGGTGTCAAAAGAGTAACGAGAGAGAAAAGAAAACTCACATGTGTGAAGCTGCTAACTGTAGTCTGTTGTTGTCTGTCAACTGCCGTTACTCCAGCTGCTGCTCCAGATGCCGCTGAAATGCACTCAAGTCCTAGAAGTCGAGCACACAGCTATCAGTTTATCTGCTTAGCATGCTTGTCTTCGTGGGCGGCTCTCAGTTATCCTGTGCGTGTCACGTCCTGCACTGTTGTTGTTGTTGTTGTGCTTGCTCGACTTTTTAGCTGCTGCTGTTGTCGCACACGGCATTGACACCTTGCCGCTTATCGCTCATGTATTACACACACACACACATACGCACACACTTACACACTTTCTACGATTTGGGTCAAAGTGCTAACAAAACATGAATGCAGCTGCAGCACATGGCATGGCAGTTGCCTTCTTTTATTTTTTAGCTTTATGCTTTTTGCCTTTTTGCCGTTTTGCCGTTTTGCCGCTTTGCCACTCGCTTCTGTTTCCTCTACCAGCTGCCTAGCTGCTTCCGTTTCCGTTTCCGCTTTCACTTTTATACATATATTTTATTATTTTTGTCGCTGTTGTTGCTGGCAGCTTTTTAGTTGTGCACACACACATACACACACACACGCAGAGCGCGAGCGAGAGGCACACACATACACACACGCACCGAGACGTACTTTACGGCTTGTTGCTGCCTTTCACAGTTATGCGTTTGCAAGGATCAACAAGGATATGCACACACACACACGCACACGGGCCGCCTTTGCTTAACAACTTTTTGGCGGCTCGCTAACCAATTTATATATATATATTTTTTTTTTTTTTTTGCCTGGCCAAAAATAATTCTTGCCGACCAACGGCGGAAATTCGCCTTTATTATTATTTTCCTTTTTCTTTTATTTTTTTTATTTTTCTGTTGTTGTTAACAATTGTCGCTGTTGCTTTTGCGTTTGTTGTTGTTGTCGTTTGCGTTGTTTTGCCTCCACTTGCTTTCTTTTTGTTGTGCTTGGACGAGCCGTGCGTGGCAGCCGCAACGTGAACAGCTTACGACGAGTATGCGAAGTGAACTGAAAAGGACACTCTGGCCACGGCCAACGAGCAGGACAACGAGGCAGGACGAGCAAAGCGACACAGTCGGCGACGATGTGGCCAACGACGACGTTGCCTGGCCGTTGGCTTTCCGTGTGCCAAGCCAAGTCGCCGTCTTCGTGTCTGTCTGACAGCTGGAAAGCCAGCGCAGGCGCAGCAAGCGAGAGCGGGAGAGAGAGAGAGAGTGAGAGTGAGAGTACAAGTGCAGTAAGAGAGCGCCTCTCTCTGTCTCTCTCTCTCTCTCTCAGTGTGTCTCTCCTTCCAGTGCATCGCAGGTCAGTTTTCGTTTTCATTTGACAGCTGACGCGCTTCCAGTGCGCAGCTTTAAGAGAAACGGCGAGGCTGCTCTTAAGTCGAGCTGCTGCTCGTTAAGTGTGTCAGAATTCTAAATAGCGTTCGCCTTTGCTAATGTCACGTGCTTATTGCGTTACACATTTAATTAAGCCAAGCAGCCAGAGACTCGGCCCGCAGCTGTTGGCCGAGTCGAAGAAATGGCGCACACATTAATGACAGCACTCGTTGCGGTTGCGGCCGCCTGGACAGCGGCAAATCAGTGCTGGGAAAAGAAATTGATCCTGTAATGCGGCCAGGAGCAGCGGCACGCAGCAGCCGCAGTGGACGACGGCCAGGACGGGCCGACGACAGGACGTACTCTCTGCCGCAACTAGCAGCTAAACTTTTGCGGTGACCAAGCCCAAACGTGAAGTAAACTTGCAGCAGTAACCTAGCTACTCCACCCCCACCCCCACCCCTCACCCTTCTGAACCCCCATGCCACCACCCCACAGAAACCGCAGAGCTGACAACGACAACGACAACTATCGTTCGGGCAACATCCGGCTACGTGCGTGGCACGCAAGCATCAAGGGGCAAAGGGTCTACGCAAAACTAAGGAGATTGCAACCACAGGCAAAAGTGGGCATGGCACGGCCAGAGGAGACGTGCTGCAGGAGACGAGTGACGGGCGACGGGCGACGGGAAAAACGTTTGCCCACATGCCGCTTGTCGTTTTCCATTAGTGTGGCGACCAACCTCAATGATTTCTTACTTACAGCGCGCAATTTGTAAGTTTGAGTGTGCGCGCACACACACACACACACATAGACAGAGAGACAAGACACACACATATGTATATGTAGAGCCGCATAATCGCAGTCGTATTGGTTTTCGAATGCTGTCGAGTGTCGTGCAGACACACACACACACACACACACACACGCACACACAGAGACTTGGCCAATGCGTTGAGGTCGCGTATTGCCCGCGTGTGCGTGTGGGGTAAAAACTTCAGGAAATTGCTTTTGCATGAGCGCTTTGGCGGCTGGAGACCGCAACGAAGTAGTCAATGCAAAAAGGAAGCTGCGGCGATTGCAAAAGACGCGCACACAGAAATGTATTAAAAAAACACATACACACGCACACACCCACACACGCACGCAGACAGAGCAAAGATGATGCAAGAGGAAGACAGAAGCGCACGTAATTGCAATTGGGGGCGACACTGCTTAAGCAGTGGGCGTGGCAGCCAGAGGAAATGATAATGGGGCAAGCAATTTGTCAGCATTTTGGAATTTTATTGAAATTTAATCAGCGCGGCTGCTCAATAAATAATGCAAGCAGCGCCCAAATCAAACACAAACACAAACAAATGCACAGATACACACACACACACACACAGAGAGAGAGAGAGAGATACAGCTACAGCTACAGATACTTTTGGCAGTCTGCATTCTTGTTTTTTTGTGTGTTTGGCTCGCATGTTTGCCAGCCATTCAGTCAACGGTCAATACGCTCGAATCGCATTCATACACTTTGACCTCGTTTAACTTTTGTCGTCAGCCACGTTCGAAATGATTTCGTGTCTGACTGTGAAAAAGAATGAACAGCCCCCCAATGCCTCAATGTTACTCGGCCCACGCCCACTACCAATACACCACCCCC